AGGGGGGATCAATGGGGGGGAAAAGGGGACATCTGTAATACTTTCAACAATAAATTTAAAAAAAATAAAAAGTTAGTCACCCTATTATGCATGTAGATGTCCTTCATAGATCCTAACATACATAGAATCAGTTCTCAATTTTTGACAGTCATTAGATAGGCATTTCTACTGTTTGCTATTCTGTTGAAACACTTTAATTAAAAGGCTTCCAAGTGGAATATGCACTAACATATTTCATATGTCTGAATGAGACAATGACAGATTAATTGAAGGTAAGCTCAATTAAGTTAGCCATTAAATATATGAGATAATTGTCAAGAAAGTAAAACATTTAAGTTTTGTTAATCTTAAAAATCTAAGTTCAGAAATTTTATGGTATATTTTTTTTTTTAGTGAAAATGCCTAGACCAGTCCCTTCCTGGCTTCTAAAAAGATACTTGCGGTAGGAGAACTACTACCTGACTCCTTTTTCTCTGTTTTATAAGATTTTGATTTTGAATTTAAAAAACAGGTAAAAGTCACACTTTGATAACAATTGCTAATCTGATATCTCCTTATATTCTGTCTAGTATCTGTGACTAGGTCAGTTTTATATATATGAGTGCCCATGTAATGTGTTTTGAAGAGATCTAAGATTTTAATATCCCCAAACTATCGCCAATAAATGCCTTAAAATCTACAGGCATTTATTTCTATGCATTTTGTCCTTGCATTATCTGAGTTTCTCTTTTTAAAAAGAAATAGGTCTGTCATAAGATAATTACTTAGCACTTTAGAATGAACGACCATCAAATGTTTTACTGTCCGTACTAGCAGTTGGAGCACTGGTCACGTAGGGCTGATACTACTACCTAAAAACTGAAAAAGGAATACTAGAAAGAGAAGTCAGGGGTAACAGAAATAAACTTTGTAGTTGTGTCTAAACCAGTAATCTGATACCACTAGCTCCCTTGGCAAGTTTCCGTTCTTAGGCATAATCTGGACAACCATCGGAACTGTGGAGCAGGTAAGTATCTGAGAACAGACTGACAGTGTCTAACAGAACTTGGTTTCTGTTCAATAAAAATGGCTTCTGTTGAAATATGTAGCCAGGAGCCCCCAAAACTTAAAAAATAAAGTAAGAAACCATCTTGGGCATACCTGTACTTGGATCTAGAATTGATTGATTTAAACTAAGACTTAAATTTTAAAAATATATTATATCTAAGGAAAGAAATCAAATGATATATCAAGATAAGAGAGAGTGATAGAAAAAGTACTGAAATTAGATGTGAATCCTAGACCTGCCCCTCCCTCGTATTAGCTTTTCGATCTTGAAAGCAAGTAGCTTAGTCTCCCGAATTCCCTGGCATCCTCTCACATCCCCTCTGACGTAAGACGGAAGGTAGCATTGGCCGTCCTCCTGTGTCGCAGGGCTGGTGGGAGCCCCAGGAGGGTAACATCTCTAAGGATCCTTTGCATGCTGCAGTTGTAACCTACAAGTACACGATGGTATGACAGTGCTCTTGATAGATGGTTCACTGTTGATAGAGTGCCCAATATCTTTCAGCTCCCAAAGTATGACTGAGAGGCTTAGCGAAGACCAACAAAGACATTTTTTAGAAACCGGTAAGAGACCAATCCAGGAAAGAATTCAGCCCAAGAGCCCTGATTTGTATGGAGACTGCTTCAAAGTGACGCCCTTGAAGTGTGCCCTGAGCAAACAAGCTCCCAGTTGGACTGAGAAGAAAAGGACACCAACAGAAGGTTTTTTTATTTTTATTTTTCAGATTTTAATAAATGCAAATGTGGCTTTCACTGTATCGTCATTAATAAATCCTATGGAATCAGGATTTGGAGGAACTGCTTTTGTAAACAGGGATAATTAATAGCCATTTTATTCCCAACGCTGAAAAATGCTTGCCTTGAAAAAAAAATATTTAATTCACTAATTCCCAGTATCTCCTTGTGGCTGTTTTTTTTATTACTGCTTCAGTTTCCTTAGTTCAGCACCAATATCTCTGTTATTGATGCCTCTCAGTACCACAGAATGAAGAAGCAGTGAGCTGCTGACACAGCATGGATAACTGAGAATCACTGTGCCAAGTAAAAGAAGCCAGACACAGAAAAGTAACTTACATGATGCGTTCTTATTCATCAAGACAGATCTGGGAATTAGGAAGCTTTCCTTACCCATCCCCAAGTAGTAGTTGAAGTCCCACTTCTGCAATTCTGTATTAAGTTCCCTGCCTTATCTCTGTAGAAATATATACTCTGATTGATGCTTTACTTTTCTCTCTCTAGTCCTGTTAGCATATTAATGACAAGGACTATAGTTTTCATGCCTGTTTAATAAACCAAGTATAATGCCAGACACATGATAAGCATTCAGTGAATGTTTGTTGACTTCATTTCCGTTGCAGGCATTGCTGGACGCTGTGTCATATGTTCCCTCGTTCATTATCTTTCAAGGCCAGCTAATGCAATGAGTGCTTAAGGCACTCGCTTCCTTTCTTTTTAGTAAAGGCTAATTCCTTTTCTAAAAAAGTTTTATTGTAGAAATTTCAAACATAAAAGTAGAGAGCCTAGAGTAATGAACCCACAGGTGTCCATCATCCACCATTAATAATTATCAACATCTCGCTAGTCTTGTTTCATCTATAGTCCCACCACTTTTTTTTGCTAAAGTATTTAAAGCAAATCCAGCAAATCATATCTTTTTGCCCATAAATAGTTCAATTATATATCTCTAAACAATTTTTTCAAATTCTAATGTATTTCTTTTATTCTAAGCATATTCTACTTTTCTTATGCTGTCTACATGACAGTTTAGGCATTATAATTGTAAATACTGCTGCCATATCCTTTAAAATGTTGACTAGTCTTCCTTCATGCTCCACTCTGGGTTCTTGTTTCCCCCTCTCCTTTCTATATATTGAATTTTTAATTGTGTTACAATGCACCATCTTAACTATTTTTAAGTATAAAGTCCAGCAGTGTTACATACATTCACTTTCTTGTGCACACAATCTCCGGAAGTCTTTTCATCTTTCAAAACTGAAACTCCATACCCATTAGACAGCATCTCACATCCCTCCCTCCCCTGGGCCCCGGCAGCTACCCTACTTTTCCCCATGACTTGACTACTCTAGGGAGCTCATACTAATGGCATCAGTACTTGGAAGATGAGAACAGTCTTTGTCTTTTGGTTACTAGCTTAATGTCCTCAAGGTTCAGTTGCAGGTGTCAGTTTCCTTCGTGTTTTAGGGCTGAATAGATATTCCATTATATGTGTACCACATTTTTTATCCATTCATTCGTCAGTGGGCACTTGAGTTGCTTCCACCTTTTGGCTGTTGTGAGTAATGCTGCTATGAACAAAAACTTTTTGAGACTCTGCTTCCAATATGAGGGTCATTTACCCAGAAGTGGAATTGCTGGACCATAAGGTAGCTCTATTTTAATTTTTGAGGCCCCACCATGCTAGTATTGTCCACAGCGGATGTACCATTTTCCACTCCCACCAACAGTTCACAAGGTTCTAATTTTATCCGCGTCTTTGCCATTGCTGAATCTGTTCTGGGTTTTTGGATAGTTGCCACCTTAATGGGTGTGGAGTAGAGGAAGTACTTTTTAAACAGACTATTTTTAGAGCAGTTTGATAAATACTTTTAAAAAATGTTATACTTTTATTATAACAATTAACAAAATAAGTAATAATTCCCTTCATATCATCTAACAAATGGGGTTTCTAACGTGCACGTCCCACAGTTTTCCTCATATCTCCATTCTTTTGTCAGATCAAAAGCTTTGGAGCCACCACTGAGTCTTCTTCTCTCACCCACAGCTAATTCATCAGAAAACCCCAAAATATATCTAGGATCCCACACGCACACTTCTCACCCTTCTGGCTATGGCCATCACCCTGGGCCAAGCTGTCATCCTCTCTCCTGGATTATTGCACTAACCTTCCAAGAGATAATGTTACTATTTCAGTAACCTTCCTGCTTGTCCAACCTTGACCCTGTTTAATCTGTTCTTACCTCAGCAACCAGCATGATCCTGTCGAAACAAATCTATGATGTGACCCTCCTCTGCTCAAAGCCTTGCAGTTACTCCCCATTTCATACTCAGTAAAAATCGAAGTCCTTACAGTAGCCTCTGTGGCCCTATGTAAACTGAGCCCCCGTAGACCTCTCTGAGCTCTCACCTCTTTCCCCTTGTGCTGTGCCATCTTGAACACACTACCATGCTCCTAGCTCAGTGCCTTTGCACTTACTGTTCCCCTTGCCGAGAATGTTCTTTCCCGTGAAAGCTGCCGGACTCTCTCCCTGACTCCCATAACACGGCGTCACAGGGAGGCCTTCTCCAAACCCCTTTTTATTTTTATTTTTTTAATATATCTTTATTGATTTCAGAGAGAGGAAAGGAAGGGGAGAGAGAGATAAAAACATCAATGATGAGAGAGTCATTGATTGGCTGCAGCCCGCAACTCGGGCATGTGCCCTGACCGGGAATCGAACCCCGATCGCCTGGATCCTAGGTCGACGCTTAACTGCTGAGCCACGCCCAGCCGGGCTCCAAACCCCTTTTTAAAAACAGAAATCAACCTTTCCCCAAGAATCCCTTGTTTCCTTGCCCAGCTGTATGCTGCCCCATAAACATCATCATTATCTAACATACTATATATTTTACGTGTTCATTTGCTGCTTTTCTGCCCCTATACTTAAAGAATAAGCTTCAGGTGGGTAAGAATTTTTAGATAGAATTCTTAGCACATAAGGCTCAATAAGTACTTGTTGAATCATTTCAGTCTCCATATCTAAACATATTTTTGTGGTCGCCCCCCAGATCTGCGTAACAACCTAAAAAGCAAAATGAAACAATCTACATCTTTCCAAAGCAAGAAGACTGGTGTAAATTGGACAGATGATGAAAAAAGAATCTACAGGGATAAAAGAATAGCTCAGACTGAAGAGATACTGCAGTATTTGATTCCTATCATGGATAGCACTAAAAATATGCAAACCACTCAGATAAAACAGATGTTCAATCCAAGAACCGACTTCCAAATCCAGCAGCAGTAAGTCAATACAATTTTGTCATCCTTAACTATTCACTACATTCTTTTTTAAGGAAGCACAGCTAATTAATTCATTATCCTAAGAATCACAGGTGGGCAAAGGGCGGCAGAGAGGGGGATACTTGCAATTATGTCAACATTAAAAATTCTTAATAAAAATAGATAAATAAGTAAATTAATTAATTAATTAAAATGGTGCATACACTGCATTGCACGCAGGGACAAAGGCCGAAAGCCATAAGAAAGCCTTGGCTTGTGCAAGAGTAAGTTGTCTGGCCTCATGATATTGTTTATATGCATGAAACCGCTCATTAATTTGGATCTGTGAATCAGGTATACATAAAGTATGGCCATAGTCTGACTTGAGATTTCTCAGGTGTGTTTAAACTTTATAAGCTTAGGGGGCAACCAGAATTAGAAATAATTAACCTGAGTTACTTCAGCTTTTGATACTCAGAGAAAAACAGGAAGGATGAGACTGGATTTCTTTTTATTAAAGATAAAAAAAAATAAAACCAAAACTAAGGCAAAAAGGAAACCTATATAAATAAAATAAAAATGATAAGCTGAAAATAATAAATATACTTAGATTTTCAGCAAATTTTCAAAAACTACTTTCTGTGCCCTGGCCAGTGTGGCTTAGTGGTTAGGGCATCAGCCCATGCACAGATTCTCAGTCAAGGGCACATACCTGGGTTGCAGGTTCAATCCCCAGCCCTGGTCCGAATGAAAGCAGGAGGCAACCACTCGATATGTGCCTCTCACACCAATGTTTCTCTCTCTCTCCCCTCCCTCCCTTCCACTCTCTCTAAAAATCAATGGAAAAAATATCCTCTGATGAGAATTAACAAAACCAAAAAAACTGCTTTCTATGTGCTAGACATGGGTCCATGTTTACATGTGCACACACACACATTTTACATCCTACACATAAGGAGACTGAGATACAAAGAGGTTAAGTAATTTGTCCAAGGTCACATAGTCAGTAGGTAGCAGAATTGGATTCAACCGCATTCTCACTCCAAAGTCTTTCGTCACTACACTTCAAAATTTCTCTTTATAATAAAAATGAAAGACAGAGGACTCATATACTTAATACTCAAAAATAGCCTACAAATCAATGACAAAATTATGAATATTTCAATAGGAAAATGAGCAAAGGCGATGAACCAGAAATTCACAAAGGAAGAAAAAAAAAAACATGGCCAATGAACATTTTAAAATGTTCAATCTCACTTAAATCCCAAGAGGGCAAATTAAAACAATAATGAAATGCTACTCATTTTTGCCTCTCAGTGGAAGAATTCATTCACTAATTGTTGGAATGTAAACTTAGGGAGTTTCTGGAAGACAATCCAACAGTACAAATGAAAAATCCTTAATATCTACATTCATTTTTATAAGAAATTAAACCTTTAGAAATTGATCCTAAGGGGGGTAAAGCTAGGTAAGGGCTAAAAGATTTCTGTAGTGATGTTCATTTCAGCATGGTTTATAAGAACCAAAGAAAAAAAAGAAACAATTTTGAAAAAGAATAAAGTAGAAAAAAACAGTCTATCTGATTTCAACACCTTTTATATAGTTACTGTAATAAGAGAGTGTAGTATTAGAGGAATAAACATATATATTAATAGAACCAAATAGAGAGCCCAGAAATAGACCCATACAGATATGCTTGACCAATTTTGACAACAATGCAAAAGCAATTCAATGAAGGAGAGAGAGAATTTTCAACCAATGCTGTTGGAACAATTAGACATCCATAGGCCAAAAATATGAAACTTAACCTAAACTCGTTTCTTATACAAAAAAAATAATGATAATTTAAAATGGATCATGGACATAACTACACAGCATAAACCTATAAAACTTTTAGGAAAAAATAGGAACTCTTGCCTTGGCTGGTTTTGCTCAGTGGTTAGAGCGTCGGCCCTCGGATGGAAGGGTCCCGGGTTTGACTCCGGCCAACGGCACGGACCTCAGTTGCAGGCTCTATCCCTGACCCCTGTCAGGATGTGAGCAGGAGGCAACCAATCGATGTGTGTCTCTCACATCGATGTTTCTCTCTCTCTCTCCCTCCCACTCTCTCTGAAAAGCAATGGAAAAAATATCCTCGCGTGAGGGTTAAAATAAAAATAGAAACTCTTCATAAGAGTTGGGCAAAAAGTTATACTTTACACCAAAAGCATAATCCATAAAGAAAAATGGATACGTTAGACTTCATCAAAATAACTGTGTTTGCCCTTCAAAAGATCCAGTTAAGAGGGTAAAAAGACAACTATAAAATAGGAAATATTTGCAAACCATATAAATAAGAGACTAGTATCTAGATTAAAGAAGTTTCAAAATGTAACAGTAAGAAAACAAATACTTCATTCAGAAAATGAGCAAAACATATGGACCCATTACACCAAACAGAACATACAGAGGTCACACAACCACGCAAAAAGATGTTCCACATCATGAGCCATTAGGGAAATGCAAATTAAAACCACAATGAGATAGCTACACACTATCAGAATGGCCAAAATAAAAACAGTGATAACACGGGATGTGCCGAGGGTGCGGAGAAACTGCAGCACTCCCACGTTGGTGCTGGGAATGTCAATGTGCGGTCACTCTGGGGAACAGTTTGACGGTTTCTTTAAAAACCACCCATATAACTCTAACTGCCACAGAACCCAGAAATTGCTCTCCTGCACATTAATCCCAGAGAAATGAAAACACGTTCACACAAAAGCCTGTACACCAATGTTTATAGCAGTTTTCCTTGGAATAGCCTCAAAATGGGAACAATCCACATGTCCTTCAGTGGAGGAATGATTAACACTGTAGTACATCCAGGCCCTGGGCTCGGCTCAGACACAGAACAACCTGAGTCAATCTGCAGAGGGCTGTGCTGGGTGAAAAAAGCCGGCCCCAGAGGTTACACACTTAGGATTGTGCTTATATAACATTCTTTGAGGTGATAAAATTATGGAATTCAGACAACAGGTTAATGATTGCCAGGAGTGAAGGAGGGGCTGGGCAGGGAGGAAAGCAGTTATGTCTATAAAAGGTAAACATGAGGAAACTGTTCTGTACCTTGATGATACCAACGGCAATATCCTGGTTATATTATTGTGCTTCTCAAAATTAAAGTTTTAATTAAAAATATAGTTGAAAGTTTGTGGTAAAAAATGGAATTCTAAAGGAGACTGAGGGACTTTAAGCGGCTGCAACTTGTAATTTACCAAACCCTCTCTCTCGAGGAAAACTTCCCTTTCTTGGACTTACAGTGATCTTTTTACTGACCATAGGAAAAACTTATAGTGTGTACACTGAGTTCATTCTAATAGAATAAACAGATTTGTGAAAACTTAGAGAGAATTTCCTTTCACTAGATGTATAAGCAAGGAGCTGAGGCCCAGAGTGACCATTATATCAGGAAGCCTGGGGTCAGGGCAGGTATCCAAATAAACATAGCCTCTAGGCATGTAGAATGCAGAATTGGAGTAATGCTGAAAAATCATGACCAGAGATGCAGTGGTAAAAGTCTTGAGGGAAGAAAAATAGACTTACCCTATTACAAATACCTAGGGAACATGCTGGGCAAAAACTCACGCATTTTCTTTCTTTTCTAGACTAAACCCAGCTACTTATATAAACATAAAGAGATACAGTGCATCTTGGGCACCACCCAGACATCTCCCTTTTATAAGCCAAAGGCACCTTATGTCAAGCTCTCCAGAATTGCTCCAGTCTGTGTCCCAGAGGTCATGTGAAAGCCTGTCACCTCTCAAAGGGCACAAGAAAAGGAAAACACGCTCTCAAATCAAAGCCATGAAGACTAAAGACATGAAACCTGTCAGCAGCGAATGGGAAGTTGCTTCCTCAAGTTTTGCGAAGGATGCAAATATTATCAAAGGCAAGAGTCTTCAAGCTGAGGAATCCAACCAGCAGAGCTCCGTGCAGACAGCCCTCCCCCATCTGACTCAAAATGAGGATGAGCAACGAAATTAGAATGATGGACCACCCGCCTTCCATTTGCAGTTCCAGAGGCAGAAATAATCTAGCTCTTTGCTGCTCTGAAAACTGTGGATGAAAGATGACATGCTCACCTATTAAAAAGGAGAGAGAAAAGCCCTCCCCACCCCTCTGTCACTGTTCCTCTCCCTACACATGCATATGCATATACTACACTACCAATCCTAGGTATCCCATCTTCTTTAGTGGGAACATCTTTCAGACATATAAAAAGAAATCTGGAGCCCTGGCCAGTGTGGTGCAGTGGTTTGTGTTGGCCCATGCACTGAAGGGTCGCAGGTTCGATTCCCAGTAAAGGGCACGTACCTGGGTTGCAGGTTAGACCCCTAACCCCAGTTGGGCCGCATGCGGGAGGCAACCAATCCATATGTCTCTCTTACATCTGTCTCTCTCTCTCTCTAAAAATCAATGAAAAAATTATCCTTGGGAAAGGATTAACAAACAAAAAAATCTGGAGAAAAGCTAGCAGATTTAAAATTTTCTTAGGTACTTATATTTCATTTTTATCAAGATGGGGGGGGGGAATCTCTAAACTTTTGACTTCTTCCAAAATGATTTATTGATGCAACACCAAAAAACACCCCTAAGAGCTCAGGAAGGAATGACCTGTACTCTCACTGACTTTAATGTCCCGACTAGGCACTTGAATGAATTAGTCAACAAACATTTCCTGGATTTCTGTTATATCTATAGTGTTCTAGAAACCACTGGTGATTTTTTTTAAAAGACATTTCTCCCCACTAGAAGATTACTGTATAATTGTACATATAAGACAGACGTGACAAAAATAATTACAGAATAAAATCATGCATAGTAAAGTGCTAAGATTTGAGCAAAAGCATGGCACAAAAAGACACTGGAATGCATAGACTATGGTTCAAATCGTGGTTTTACTTCTCAAAATTTAGCAGCAATGTAAAAGATGAGATGTGCAGTTTCCCTTAGAGCTGATGAATGTATAGCTCCAGCCATTTATCTGCATGGAAGCAAGTAGAGGGCCTCACAGTTTGTCATTCATGCAACAGTGAGCACTGGTGAGATTCCTGAAGGACACCACAAGGGAACAGGTGTGTCAAGCAAATTAGGCAGGATGGAGGGGGTAAACGAGAAGAGTGTTAACCCAGCCTGGAACCGCAGGTCAGCAATGGCGTATGTTACAGGACGAGGCTAGGAGTGAGGATCATGCAGGAGCAGTGCTTAGGCCACAAGCCTGATTAGGTCATGGTAGCAAGAGGACCTAGAAAGACTGAGGTTGCATAGTCTACTCAACATTTTCAGTAGCCAAAGATGGTCCAAAGAGAAGTTTTTAGAGATGTTTTAGGGTCATAGAAATATGGAGCAGGAGGTAGAGATTTTCCATATACTGTACTCCCTGGCCCCCACACATCCATAGCCTCCCCATTATCACCGTAGCCCACCAGGATGATACATTTGTTACAACTGATGAGCCTAAATTGATATTATCTAAAGTTCATATTTACATTAGGGTTTACTCTTGGTGGTGTACATTCTATGGGTTTGGACAAATGTATGATGGAATATATCCATTATTATAGTATCATACAAAGTAGTTTCACTGCCCTAAAAATTCTGTATGCTCTGCCTTCTAACCCTGCGCAGCCACCGATCTTTTTACTGTCTCCACAGTTTTGCCTTTTTCAGAATACCATACAGTTAGAATCATATTAGTGTGTAGCCTTTTCAGATTGGTGGCTCTCACTTAGTAATATGCATGTAAATTCTATCCTTTTTTTTTTTATGGCTTGATAGCTCATTGTTTAATGGTGAATATTCCATTGTCAATAAAATTTATATTCTACCAATGTTAAGAAAAAAAGACAAAGGACTAATATCAGAAATGAAAGAGGGGCCACCAGTACTGATCCCACAGACATTAAAAGGATAAGGGAATATTATGAATAGCTCTTGGCCCACAAACCTAGATGAGAGGGACCAATTCCTTGAAAGACAAAATCTGCCAAAATCCATACAAGAAGAAGTAGACAATCTGAATTTAAAAATTTGAATCAGTAATATCTTGCCAAAAGAGAGATCACCAGGCCCAGGTGGGTTCACTGATGAATTCTACCAAAAATTAAATTTATACCAACTCTCTACAATCTCTTCCAGAAGATAGGAGCAGAGGGAATACTTCCTAACATATGTTCTGAGACCATTATTGCCTTAATACTAAAACCAGACAAATATATTGTTACAAAAACAGGAATATTGCAGACTAATATCTCATGAACATAGATGCAAAAATTCTCAACAAAGTATTAGAAAATAGGATCCAATAATGTGTAAAAAGAGTTATACAATGTGTCAAGTAGGCTTTACTCCAGGTATGCAAGGCTGGTTCAATATTGAAATGTCAATCCATCACAACTGATAAAGGAAGAAAAATATCACATCACTAGATGCAGAAAAAGCACTTGACGAAATTTCATATCCACTGAAAATACACGAAATGTTAAGACATCGACAGTTCCTCTGGATGTCTCCTGAGCTCTTATCATTGAAATCCCGATCAGTGAGGCCCTCATATCTCTGACTCAGCGCGTCTGCACTGACCAAACACAGGCTCAGTAGAGCCTACAGGGAAGGGGCCTCCCTGTAACCTTTGTGAGCAGGGTCAGATTTCAGTGCTCCGGAAGGAAACTTCAGAAGACCCACCTCACCCCGGAATGTGAGCAGGTGAGTCCACCGCAGCCTGACTCATCCTGATGGCCTCATGTGCAGGGAGTGGGTTATAGCACGAAGCTGCTGTAAGTCTCCAGCTTTGTGTAGTAGCAGGTAGGGCCTGGAGTAGCCAGAGCTCGTGGGCTAGTCTCCGCTGTCTTCAGTCAGCCTGTTACGTTACCCCCATTGCACTTTCTAAGTGTGCAAGCAGTGAACAGCAGAGTGGACCGTTTTATCCTGCCTGGCTCACTTGCCTTGCCCACTGCTGAGCTGGCCTGGTTGCCGGGCACTTGTTTGTTCTAGAAGCACAGCAGTCCACAGGGTTCCAAGCTGGCTGCAGCGGTCGCCAGGCGCTAAAGGCCAGCAGCCAAGTTTCAGTGCCCTTGAAGCGGTGGAAGGCCTTTGACTGCCACAAAGATATCTGTCCCGCTTGTCCCCAAGCAGTGCTCTCTGATACTAGCTGACCACTGGAGACGGGCCCTTTGGGTTTCCCTCCTGTGCTGCTATGATCTTTTTTGTTTTTGAAGCCAACATATTTTTAAGGAGGAATGCCCAGGTTGAGGAATATTATTATGTTGGTGAAAGATTAACAAGTTTACACAGCCTAGGACACCCTAAGGTCACCTGTCATGAAGGCGTAATGGCTCATCGTCAAGGACAGACATCAGTCAAAGGTGGATCATTTCCTCCCAATCCCAACTGACTAATGCCAAAGGCATCTCAGGAAAAAAAAGAACAACTTTAGAGGGAAATAAGGGACGGTTTGGATGAAAACAGTCATCTACAGGAAAGCCCAAAGCTGCTTTTCCAAGAAGATGGGGCACAGAAAGAGTGTGGGGACTGAAGGACCAGGTGGCTGAAAAGTAACACACATGAATGAAGCGGGCTGTAAGTAACGAAGGGAACCCTAAAATCTCCGACCAAAGCCCCGCTGCAGGCGCTATTTCCCTGCCCTCTAGAGAAGAGCAGACAGAGGATGGCCACCTCCCCTTCCGAAGGAGGAGAGTTTCCTCCTGAGGCCACCTGCAGATTCAATTCAGATTCCAAAGCAGCCAGCCCTGAATATCCACACCCCCTGCACGACATCTGTTTCTTCTTTATTTTTTCCTCTATTTAGTTTAACTGCTGCTACTTAATTGTATTCTTTGTTTACTCTTGTAGATGTTTGATAGCATTTTAATTTCTAAGAGTGTTTTTAAATATAGATGGTTTTCATCTAATCGTGATACATTATTTCCATTTCATCGGGCATCCTAGAATTAGATGACGTAAGTATTGTGTTTTTACTATTATTTGAAACTACCATTGACATTTTACACAACCACGTGGAGATATCTGAAACCAAAAAAAGACTATTTCAATATATCTATTATTAGAAATCTGTAAGAGTAGCTTAATACTTACTTCCATAAAATTTTATTGGTTTTAAGAAAACAAAACACACCAAAACAACAACAAAGACATCCCTGGTTGAACCTATTAGTATTTTTATCAGTTAAGTCTGAAATTCATAGATTAATATAAGGGACTTGAAATTTATAACCATTTGTTTCTTACTTTGTAATTTTCTGAAGTTTGTCATTTTATTTGTTTTTTCTTTATCTTTATTGTTAAGAGTATTACAGGTATCCCATTTTTCCCCCCCAATTGACCCCCTCCACCTCACTCCCACCCCCTCCCCAGGCCTTCACCCTGTTATTACCTGTGTCCATGGGTTATGCATATATGCATATAACTTCTTTGGTTAATC